TTAATGATAGGAAATATTTCTAATTATTTACACATTACAAACATTTCATATATGGTAAATTAGTGTATAAATTCATTTAATACTTACAAGTGTTACAATAATTACCACATTTTATACATTCAGATCCAATTGGTTCATATCCAGATGGACAAGAAAAGCAATTATTCTTATCACAAGAAGTACATCTTAATGAACACTAAATACATCTATCATTAGATAAATAATATCCTTAAATGCATTCTAAACATTTAGGTTCTTGATATTCTGTTTTTTTACATGCTGAATCTAATAAAATACATTTGTCATTATAAAAATAATGATTTTCTTAACAAATAAGATAAACTTTATTAGATAAATGTGTTAATTATGTAAATTAAAAACAATTAGGTAATTCATCATCAGTATTACAATAGTTAGATGCACCATCTATCAATTATAGATTGTAATTCTAATCAATATAATAAACATCATTATCTAAATTTGATCTTATTTATTTTCTATATGCATCCTCTGATTCTGTTATTTTTTGAGTAATATAATCTGTTTTACATACAGGTTATTAATACCAATTGATGGGATCAAATAAACAATCAACACATAAAATATCGAATGCAGATTTTTATGGACTAATTAATAATTAAGAATTACCATTCTATACATTATTTATTAATTTCTAAATAGAAATAACCAAATGGACAAATAGAATTTATTTAATCAAAAGGTAATTCTTAATATTAGAGGGTTGGGTATATGTAATCAAAAGAATAACAATTACCTTATATTTCTAGAAATCCATAATCACAAAAACATATCATTAAATCTTCTGACCATCTTCTATTTAAACCATCTTTACATCCTAAACAATTAGTTGATAATGGTCCAATACAATCATCACATGTAGGATGACATTCTATTAATATATTATTTAAAAATATATACAAAAATTGATGTCTTAATCTTGTTCATAATTGTAACAAAATTCAAAATTTTATAATTATCCGCGTAATTTTCTAAATACAGTTAGATCACCTCCAAAAAAAATATAATATTTTGTATTTACAAATAAACCTTATGCAGAAAAATCATCAAAATAAAATAGATTTAATGTGAATGTTTATCCCTATTAAAAATTGATTTTCATTTCTGATTTATACAAATCATCTTTTCCATGTTGAAATACTATGAAATGCCAATTTGATAAATAATTTATAAAATAAGGATCATAAGGATCTTCTAATCTTTTTCTACCTCCGAAATCAGGATTAACTGCTCCTTAAATAGGATTAACATAATGATGAGAAATAATATTATATCCACTATTTGATGGTTATGATAGATCTAAATCAACAGTCATTTTTAGAATTTCATCTCCTAATCTTAATTCATCTGAATACTATTTAAATGTAGTTAATCTAAGTATTAAATAAGTTGTTATATAACTTGCTTCTGATGGATCCAATTTTATCCATCCTGAAATGTAAAATTTTAATCCTACTTAATTTACTTCAAAATTTAATTATGTATCACCTCCGAATTTCTTTAATCCAGGTATCAAAGTTATAGTTTATTTACCTATTACATTTTCTGGAATTCTACAATTTCTTCGTATTAATAAATAGCTATTATCTTAATAATCTGTAAACTTTATTAATTTTGATAATCTTCCTCTAAATATTCCCAATTAATGGGAAGTATTAATCTAAAATTTAAATTAATTTTATTTACTATTCCAGTTCCTCCTATTATAAATTTTATATTATTCAATTCTTAAGAGAGATCAGGTATGCTATAAGATGAAAATGAATCTGTTTTAACTATCACATGTCTCTATTCTATTGTTATCATTGTCAATCTCCATTTCCCTTCATAATCCATACCATCATATTCATAATTAAATACATTATTAGTATCAATATCTTCTTCTACATATAGTTTATGAATAACTAAAGGCAAAATATCAGAAAAACTTAAATGCATCAACATTATCACTCTTTCATCATCTAAAGATTTCAATAAAAATAACAATTATTCATTTCTATTATCAATATACAATTTATCCTCTACTTATGGATATTTCTCTACATCCCACATTGGAATACAAAAACTCCAAAATGCAAAACTTTAAGATTATCCCACACCTTCTATTATTGTTTCTTCTATTGGATCCTATTTACTTAACAAAGACTTTTCGTAATCAACTAAAGGACAACTTTAAGTTATAATTATAACTATAGACAATAATGATTTTTCTAGCAACATAAATCTTCCGTTTTTTATCATTCGCAATTATTTATTTCTCCAATTTAAATTAATAATTGAATCTCTAAAACAACTCTATAGCTACAATTCAAGTTGAATCCATCATATAATTTTACACTTTTTACAATTTAAATTTTTTATATATATATACTCATTAGCTTCAATAGATACAAATAATTTATAACTATTTTATTCAATAAGATTCTCTCCATATTTAACTTATTTTCTATATTTACATCTCTATTCATTTGTTTCACACAAAAAAATGTCAATTATATATACATTCTTTTATTTTTTATCATCTAATAAATATTTTATAAAATTATATTAATTTATATCGAATTAGAGTTTAATTAAAAATAAATATTAAATCAAATTTCACAATAAGTTCATCCCATTGAACTAGATCTAATTTTTTATCAAATATAGTATCTTAACTATATTCTAAATTTTTTATAGCTCCATTCTGATCAGATAAATAACGGCTTTTTTAGTATGTTTTTAGGCGTTTTCAAATAATTTTTGTAAGGGTTTCATTCAATAAATGAATTTTAAAATTCTTTTTATTGACATTTTCAGATTTAATTAAAAATTTATGTACAATAGAATAATTTGGTAGTTTATAAATAATATTATGTATTATATAATTAAAGAAAAGATTCCAAAATTACATGAATTATTATGAAGCAAACTGTTTTTAAACTCCATATATTTAATGCTAACTGTTTCGCTAATTAAAATTTTAAAGAAAAAGAAATATTGTTAAGATTTAAGGATTCCTTATAATGTTTTTATATACCTAAAGTTTTATAGTAAAGTTTTAAATTTGAGAATGATACATTATTATTTACTTATTCAATTATCGGTATAAAAATTAATATAAATAGAATTCTCTGATATTTATTATAGCAAAACCAAATTAAAAAAAAACTGAAAATTAGAAAATAAAGATGATGGTAACAATAAACTTCAAACTTAAAAAAAATATCATCTAGAANATAAGATGAAAATGAATCTGTTTTAACTATCACATGTCTCTATTCTATTGTTATCATTGTCAATCTCCATTTCCCTTCATAATCCATACCATCATATTCATAATTAAATACATTATTAGTATCAATATCTTCTTCTACATATAGTTTATGAATAACTAAAGGCAAAATATCAGAAAAACTTAAATGCATCAACATTATCACTCTTTCATCATCTAAAGATTTCAATAAAAATAACAATTATTCATTTCTATTATCAATATACAATTTATCCTCTACTTATGGATATTTCTCTACATCCCACATTGGAATACAAAAACTCCAAAATGCAAAACTTTAAGATTATCCCACACCTTCTATTATTGTTTCTTCTATTGGATCCTATTTACTTAACAAAGACTTTTCGTAATCAACTAAAGGACAACTTTAAGTTATAATTATAACTATAGACAATAATGATTTTTCTAGCAACATAAATCTTCCGTTTTTTATCATTCGCAATTATTTATTTCTCCAATTTAAATTAATAATTGAATCTCTAAAACAACTCTATAGCTACAATTCAAGTTGAATCCATCATATAATTTTACACTTTTTACAATTTAAATTTTTTATATATATATACTCATTAGCTTCAATAGATACAAATAATTTATAACTATTTTATTCAATAAGATTCTCTCCATATTTAACTTATTTTCTATATTTACATCTCTATTCATTTGTTTCACACAAAAAAATGTCAATTATATATACATTCTTTTATTTTTTATCATCTAATAAATATTTTATAAAATTATATTAATTTATATCGAATTAGAGTTTAATTAAAAATAAATATTAAATCAAATTTCACAATAAGTTCATCCCATTGAACTAGATCTAATTTTTTATCAAATATAGTATCTTAACTATATTCTAAATTTTTTATAGCTCCATTCTGATCAGATAAATAACGGCTTTTTTAGTATGTTTTTAGGCGTTTTCAAATAATTTTTGTAAGGGTTTCATTCAATAAATGAATTTTAAAATTCTTTTTATTGACATTTTCAGATTTAATTAAAAATTTATGTACAATAGAATAATTTGGTAGTTTATAAATAATATTATGTATTATATAATTAAAGAAAAGATTCCAAAATTACATGAATTATTATGAAGCAAACTGTTTTTAAACTCCATATATTTAATGCTAACTGTTTCGCTAATTAAAATTTTAAAGAAAAAGAAATATTGTTAAGATTTAAGGATTCCTTATAATGTTTTTATATACCTAAAGTTTTATAGTAAAGTTTTAAATTTGAGAATGATACATTATTATTTACTTATTCAATTATCGGTATAAAAATTAATATAAATAGAATTCTCTGATATTTATTATAGCAAAACCAAATTAAAAAAAAACTGAAAATTAGAAAATAAAGATGATGGTAACAATAAACTTCAAACTTAAAAAAAATATCATCTAGAATTTTATAAACAATTTTTTTTAGAAATAGTTTTATAAGATAACCTAATATTTTAATTGATTTGTTAGCTCTTTGATATTATCATAAATTACTCGGTTTTTCCTATAAAACCTGTATGAATAGATATTTTTTCATAATTGAAAAAATGTAACCTATATTTAATCATCTTTATGCTTTATTTCTCTTTTTCAATTTAATAATAAATTTCAATTAGAAGTAACATTCCTATTAGGTATAAATCATTTAATCAATAATTTAGTTAAAATATAGATCAAAAATGAAATAGATAATATAATGTCAGATGGTAGAAAGTGTGAATGATTTAGTTTGCTCTAATAATCATTTAAATAATAAAGCAGAATTTGTTATATTAGATGATTAATTTAAAGGTAAAGAAAGATTAATTTGCAAAAGTTGTTATTTAACATTATCATAATCTCTAAATATTTTACCTTTAGAAGATGCAATAAATGTTGTTTAGAAGAAAAAAAATAATTTAATAGATAATCTTGTTAATCAAATCATACCTTATATTCAAGTCTTAGAATAATTTGTCTAAAGTATCGAAAATCTTAAAATTAGCATCATTAATATTCTTGATGATATCATAATAAAAATGAATAATTGGATATTAGATATTGAATCGTTTAATTATATAAAAAGGTAGTATAGTTTTTTAGAAGAAGTTGATAATCTAACATAGACTAGTAAATATAAAGAGTTCTAATAGTAATACATTGATTAGAAATTAAATAAGAATATTCATAAATAATAAGTAATTTAGATTGTTAAATAAATTTAATCACTTTTGAAATTAATATTAGATGAAAATTTGAAGCAAAGAATAGAAAAAATAATTAATTTAAGATAGACTAATGAACAAAATAAATTTAATGATCTAAGTGGATTGAATATTAAAGAATAATCGACAAATATTACACATGTAATGAATTAAGAAAAAGTATGTTATGGGCTTGCTTTTAATAATCTTGGTACGTTGATGGCTGCTGGATGTGATAATGACATAAAAATTTGGAAATTTTAAAATGGAAAATTAATTGATTCTTAAATAACTTTATAAGGACATAAGAATTGTGTAATTTGCATAGTATTTAGTCGAAAAGTTAATTGGTTTGCTTCAGGAAGTCATGATTGTTAAATAATAGGTTGGAAATAGATAGATTAAAATAAATGGCATTAATCAGAATCAGTAAAAATTCATGAAAAGAGTATATCATGTTTAGTATTGAATTAAAATGAAACCTAACTTATATCTAGCAGTTGGGATAATTCAATTAAAATATGGATAGTTGATAGTAATGACAATTATTTTTAATATGATTATTCACTTAATAAACATGAAAGCTATGTTTATTGCTTAAGTTTAAACTAATCAGAGACCAATTTAGTATCTTGTGATGATAATGGTTGCCTTATTATTTGGAATAAACATAAAACTCAAAAATGGATATTTTCTCATGTGATCTAGAAAACGGTTCAAGATATTGGATATCGTATATGCTTTATACATGATAACTTAATTGCATGGTAATAAGATAGTTTAGGTATAACACATTTTTTTGAATAAGAAGACGATTAATTTATTCAAAAATCTTAATACTCTCTATAATTAAAATCTTTTAATTCCTCAGATACTTTATATTTTCCATCTAATTATAATCATAAAAGATAAACACTTCTCTAAAAACATTCTAAATATTTGTACTTAATCAAATTAAATTACAATCAAAAATTAACAATTGTTGATTGTTAAATCTTGGATTGCAATCATCACTTAATTTATGGATCTTGGACAGAGGATGGAAGATATTTAGTTTTTTGGTCAAGTTTAGAAAAATAATTTAAAGTATTTCAAATTAATTATTCTAATTGATTTATTTTAATTATTTTTTAACCAAATAGCAGTATTATATTAATTAAATAACAAACATATAAAATTATATTCTTAATTTATTTAACAAAATAGTGTATTTATTTGATTTCTTTTGTAAAATAGAAAAGATGTAATTCTATTTAATTTAGGTGTTGTAAATTTAATCATTTTTGATTAGAATTTTGTTCTTGCACTATTTTAAAAAATAATTATTTTAAAAATTAATTCTAATTTCTACTGAAATAATATAATATAAAATAATAGATACAATTAGATCTTCAAATAAATTGAATCATTTTATAGTATATTATTTAATGGATATAATTAATAGATTTTGAATATAGTCTAATAAATAAAATTAGAATAGAAAATAATTTAAATAAATAATGAAGAGATAAGAAGATAAATTTTTAATAAAATATTTTTAGATATGTATCATATCAAAATAACAGATCCAAAAATAATGATTGTAATTCCAAATAGGAATCCTTAATCTGTAGAATTAGATTGATTGGATTGTCCATTATTAGTTGTTGTAGTATTATTATTATATTGATTTATGATTGTACAAGTTTAACATTTATTGTTGAAAGTGCTCCAAGTATAAGTATAACCGGAGATAATGAGGCAATCATTTTAAGATAGTTTAGATGGATCAGTAGCTTAACAACTTCCTCCAAATATTGTACAAAAGTTTTATGTTTTTTTATCCCAATTTAGAAAATTAGTACAATAACCATTAGTAATTTAATTTGTAGAACATGTATGATTAAGACATTAAGTAGTTGTTGAATTATTAGACCAATAACATCTATCTTTAGCAGCTATACATGCATTAGAATCTTGATTTGCAGATGAGCAGGTAGTCATTAAAGAACAAATAGAATTAGAGTTTGATATATTATTAAATATACAAATACCATCTAAACCACCTTAATTACAAGTATTTTAATTTATATATGTAGAACAATTAGCTTTAGGAATACATTTAGTGCCATTACTAACACAAGATATAATTTAACATGCTTCAGATGTAGTACCATTAGGAATATCAGCACAACTTAAAATTCTACAATTAGGAATAGATGTTGTTGTATCCCAAAAACAAATACCATCAGATCCAAGAGCAATATTACATGTATTTTAAGTAGAATAAGAAGAACATTTTGTTTTAAGTATACATATAGCTCCATTTGATGTACAGGTAGATAGTTTAGATTAACATTCAAAGTGTGTAGATCCAGTTAAATCAGAGCATTCTTAATCTCTACATTTATTAGTATTATTATTCCAGATACAAATACCTGTAGAGAGTATTGTTCCAGACGATTATGTAATAGGTCCTTTTAGATTAATAATACATCCTGCTTTAGATGTGTATAAGGAACATTCTGATAATGGTATACATCCAGTTATTCCATCAGTCGTACATTAATTATTAGCAATTTAACATTCTGAATGTGTAATATAGAAAGCATCATTACAAGAAGTAAAAAGTTTACACATTTTAGATTCTGATGAATTTAATGCTGGAATAGTTTAAATACAAGAACCATCATATCCAGTAATACATCCCCCATTAGTATTAGTTTCTGAACATAAAGTGATACCAATACAATTAGATCCATTAGTAGTACATTAATTACTTATTAATTTACATTAACTATCTTTAGTCCAATTAAGACTTTTACATGAAGTATATTAAAAACAAGCTCCTTTAGTTCCATCACTATTAATGTATTTATCAATCCATAAACATGGTCCATTAAGTCCTTCAATACAAGCCTCTTTTATAGTAGTTTATTCACAATTTAATATTCTTGCACATTTTCCATTAATTCCAATAGTACAATCAACTCTTTTTTATTAGCATTCAATATGATTAGTTCCATTATAATCTTAACAATCAATATCTCTACATTTATTTAATTTATTATCCCAAGAACAAATAGTTCCATTTAATGCACTTGTACATGCAGCTTCTATCATAGCAGCAATACAAGTAGATTTTAATGTACATCCTCCCCCTTTCTTAACAGTACAATTTATAAAATAATTTTAACATTCTTCTTCATTTTTTAATGTAATTGGTGCAGTTTAACAACTTTTTAAAGTACAATATCCTAATCCTAAATCTGATGATATCCATTCACATTATTATCCTGTCGATGAATTAACACATCCAACTTAATTTAAAGCTTAAATGCAAGTTCCTCTATTTACACAATTTATACCATTAGATGTACATGTTGCCATTTCTTATTTACATAAAGTATCTGTTGTTAATTTATAATCTTCACACACTTTTGTTTTGCATTTTATATTATCTAATGTACATCCATCTAAATAAGTATTACAATCATCTTCTGATTTAATATAATCTGGAGCATTCTCACATGATCTTGTTATACAATTACTTCCTGTCCAATAACAAGGATCTCCATTCTTATTATAATAACATTATTTCTATGTCATTGTTTCACATTAAATTGGAATTGTTGTACATCCTTTTCCATTATCAGAAACTGTACATTTATTATTATTTAAATAAGATCTACATTTACTATCATCATCTAATGTTATAGAAGCAGTCTCACAAGATTTATCTGCACATTTTTATGTCTCTTATATCCATTCACAAGGTTATCCTAAAGAATTTATTTAACATTGCTCTTTAATTGCATATAATTCACAACTTGTTGTTTATTAACATCCACTTAATACTCCTTCAATTATAGATACAGTACAACTTACACTTGATGTATTATAATATACATAACAATCATTATGAGAATTCATAAAAAGTGGTGCACTATTACAAGATTTATCTTAACAACTGCCTTGATTTACATTATTATTCCATACACATTCATTACCATTTATACTTTAATGACATTAATCTTAACATGAATAAGAACTACAAAGTCCTCTTGGCATACAACCTGGCATTGTAACATTATTTGCTGCTCTTACTGTACATTATAATTTANTAAGACTTTTACATGAAGTATATTAAAAACAAGCTCCTTTAGTTCCATCACTATTAATGTATTTATCAATCCATAAACATGGTCCATTAAGTCCTTCAATACAAGCCTCTTTTATAGTAGTTTATTCACAATTTAATATTCTTGCACATTTTCCATTAATTCCAATAGTACAATCAACTCTTTTTTATTAGCATTCAATATGATTAGTTCCATTATAATCTTAACAATCAATATCTCTACATTTATTTAATTTATTATCCCAAGAACAAATAGTTCCATTTAATGCACTTGTACATGCAGCTTCTATCATAGCAGCAATACAAGTAGATTTTAATGTACATCCTCCCCCTTTCTTAACAGTACAATTTATAAAATAATTTTAACATTCTTCTTCATTTTTTAATGTAATTGGTGCAGTTTAACAACTTTTTAAAGTACAATATCCTAATCCTAAATCTGATGATATCCATTCACATTATTATCCTGTCGATGAATTAACACATCCAACTTAATTTAAAGCTTAAATGCAAGTTCCTCTATTTACACAATTTATACCATTAGATGTACATGTTGCCATTTCTTATTTACATAAAGTATCTGTTGTTAATTTATAATCTTCACACACTTTTGTTTTGCATTTTATATTATCTAATGTACATCCATCTAAATAAGTATTACAATCATCTTCTGATTTAATATAATCTGGAGCATTCTCACATGATCTTGTTATACAATTACTTCCTGTCCAATAACAAGGATCTCCATTCTTATTATAATAACATTATTTCTATGTCATTGTTTCACATTAAATTGGAATTGTTGTACATCCTTTTCCATTATCAGAAACTGTACATTTATTATTATTTAAATAAGATCTACATTTACTATCATCATCTAATGTTATAGAAGCAGTCTCACAAGATTTATCTGCACATTTTTATGTCTCTTATATCCATTCACAAGGTTATCCTAAAGAATTTATTTAACATTGCTCTTTAATTGCATATAATTCACAACTTGTTGTTTATTAACATCCACTTAATACTCCTTCAATTATAGATACAGTACAACTTACACTTGATGTATTATAATATACATAACAATCATTATGAGAATTCATAAAAAGTGGTGCACTATTACAAGATTTATCTTAACAACTGCCTTGATTTACATTATTATTCCATACACATTCATTACCATTTATACTTTAATGACATTAATCTTAACATGAATAAGAACTACAAAGTCCTCTTGGCATACAACCTGGCATTGTAACATTATTTGCTGCTCTTACTGTACATTATAATTTACTATCTACATTTACACATTTAGCATGAGAATCAAACAAAGTTGTTTACTCTATTTATCTACAATCCAAATCTACACAATTCTTGTATGTTGGATTCCAAAAACATCTTCCACCATTCTTATTAATTTAACATTACAATTCAGATATATATTCAGAACAATTACTTCTAGATTAACATCCTCCTGTTCTGGTAACTGTACATTATTTCAAATATTATGAACATTTAGTATCACTATCATAATTCTCATTATCTATTGCTAAATCACAACTTTTCTTTACACATTATGAATTATAAACTATACAGTCACCCTCCTATGAATATAAACATTAATTCTAACTCTATGATGAACACTTCTATATCATATCTGTACACCCAGAATTTGTAATGTTAACAGTACATGTACTTAACCAATTATTGCAATTTTAATGATTAAATACAAAACCTCCTGCAAGTGAACAAACTTTTGATATACATTAATTACCATTAGAAATGCATCCAACTTTAAATTCATTACAATTGGCATCACTATAATTACCTATTCCAAGATACACTTTTTCACAAGTTTATGCACTTGAAGCTGATACACAACTAGAATCAATATTAGAACTTGATATGCATCTATCTTTTGCTGAACGATAACAATTTCCCATAGATGTATAATCTTAGCACTCAGCCAATTATTAAATACAAGCACTTCTAGCTCTATTTACACTACATGCTGTATTATATGATTAGCAAAGTCCATAAGTTAAAGTACCAGCTGCCCCAGTTATCTTAGCACAATCACTTATTGGATTTGAAATAGTAATACAAGTGTTATTAGATAAGAAACATTTTCCATTTTAAGATATTGTGCATTGTGATACAGTTGCAGAATATTCTTCACATGTTTATTTGAATTGTTAACAAGCACTACCATTAGCAATAGATGTACAAAGATTAAAATAAGCTTAACATTTATCATGGTTTAATGATGCAATTGATCCAGTAATGGTTGAACAATTTGCATAACTGTTAATAGAAATACAAGATTCTGGTGAATCTGTAATAAGAAGGCATTTAGCATTTGATGTAAATGTACATGAATTAACAGTAGCTTAATAAGCTGTACAATTTGATTAATAAATTTAACATCCTGTTCCATCATTTAAAGATGTACATGCAGAATTATATGATTAACATTTTGTATGATCCAAACCAGTTAACCCAGTTACAAGAGTACAGTCAGATGCTTAAGTAACAGATTAACAAGTAGGAGGAACAGAAGTATTCATAACACATAGATCATTAATAGATCTGAAACAATTAATTGATTATTATGCATATCCTTAACATGTAGATTAAATTAGAATACATCCAGTACCATCTGCTTTAACTGAACAAGTAGAATCAATTGCTTAACAATCTTAGAATGTTAAGTTAATTCCTGTTTTAAGAGTACAATCTACAGTACATTTAGATGAAATAGTAGCACTAATAATATTAGTACATCCTTATTTATATTATTAACACATAGTTTAAGTTCCTTTAAATTAAGAACATATTCCTGTGGCAAAAGTAGATAATGAATAACATTAATCTACAATCCATTTACAATCATCAATTCCTGTTAAATTTTATATAGTTTAATGACATTAAGCTTATGTCAGATAATTGGAACAAGTAGATTATTTCATAACACATCCAAGTCCTCCAATTTTAGGTATTACTGTACAAGTATTATCAAGTACTAAATATTTTTAACATTTTAAATCTGAATCATAAAGTGTAGTATCTGAAGCATCTGCACATGTGGCATTTCTACAAGCAATTCCAGTCCATATACAAAGTTTATTTATTGAAGTGATTTTACAATTATCTTAAGTAGTATAAAGAGTGCATGTATTTTATAATGATTAACAATTAGTTCCTGCATTATTGACTGTACATTGATCAAATATATTATTACAATCATTATGTGTTAATTTGATTATATTTATACATATTTTATCAACACAATTAGATCCATTCCAATAACAATCACCACTTATTTTAGATCCATTAGTACAATTATTAATTCCTAAAGAATTACAATTAGAAGGTTTATTAATGCATCCATCAGATGAATTATTTGGAATACATGGTTATTATAGATTAAGACATACACCTTGGGTATTAGTTGTTGTGCAAATACTTAGATAATTTTAACAATTAGGTACTGAAAATTATCCTACTTCAATCACTCCTTTTGTACCTTCAATATTGGCTGTTGAACATGATTTTTCTATACAAGAAGATTAAGAAGAAACCCATAAACAATTTGGGAATCCTGTTCTTGGGATTTCACAATTTTCAGATGTTTTTCTAGTTGAACAAGATATAGGTAAATCTTAACATCCTTATATAATTGAAATTCCATTCAATATAATGGGATTATTAGCAACACATGTTGATATATATTATGAACATTGTAAAGTAGTTGATAAATTCTTAGAAGCAGTCGAACATGCTTTATCAATACATGAAGATCCATTCCATCCACAAGATTATCCATTCATTTTAATAAAACAAGCACCTTCTATTGAAATAGCTTCACATTTATTTGGTAATGTAACACATCCAAATCCTGTGTTATTTAATGTACAACTAATATGATAAAGTTAACAATCTTTATGAGTAGTTATAGATTATGATGCTAATACACATAACTTTTTAAAGCATTTCCCTTTCCATATACAAGTTTTATTATTAAAATCTTTATCACATATCGATTATGTTAATGAATTCTCACATGTTTTATCAACACAACCAGAATTAGTTTTATTTACAGTACAAGTATTCAAAAAGGTTTAACATAATTCATGTGTATTATTAGTTGATGGAGCATTTAAACAAATTTTATCTTTACAAGTACTGGTACTTGTATCCCAAAAACATGGTTAACCAGATGAATTATTAATACAAGCATTTTATAATGTAATTGCTGTACATGTTGTATTAATTGTACATCCACCACCTGTTTTAGTTATACAATTATTTCCAGATAAATAAGCTTCACATTCTTCATTTGTAATTAAATTTATTGGAGCATTAAAACATGTTCTATTTTAACATCCTCCTCCTGATTTAACAGTACAAATTGATAAATATGTTGTACATAATTCATGAGTATTATTTGTCATAGGTGCATTAATACATATTTTCTCTTTACAATTTGTATCCCATATACAATCTATTCCAATCTAATTTTAAACACAAGCAGTAGGAATATTAGCTACTGAACATGAACCATTTTAAATACATCCTCCACCTTATTTTGTAATACATCCTTTTAAAAATTCAGAACATTCAGAATTACTAGTTATTGTTATTGGAGCATTAGAACATATCTTATCAACACAACTTATACCATTCCAATAACATTCATTTCCTTATATATTCTTATTACAACCTTCTTTAATTTAAACAGCTTAACATGTTGATCTAGTTATACATCCTCCATTTAATTTAGTTGTACATGTACCATCTTTTCTAAATTATTTACATGCTTCATCTGTTATCATACTTATTGGTGCATTCTCACAGATTCTATCTTTACATGAAGATCCATCCCAATAACAACTTATTGTCATTTATTAATTCCAAACACATTAATTTTCATTTATTTAATCACTACAATTATTTCCACTTATTATACATCCACCACCACTTTTTGTAGTACATGTAGATATCATATCTCTACATTCCTTATCATTTATTAATGTTTATGGTAATTTATCACATGTGTTACTATCTGTACATATATTATTTGTTTAATCCCAATAGCATAATTTTCCTTATGCATTTTTTACACAAGCCATCTATTTCTTATATTGATTACATTCATCTATTTCTACGCAATGATTTCCATCTGAAATACATCTATTACTTATTGCTTAACATTCTTATTCTGATTTCTTATCAAATGCTGTACAACTTGTAAAAAATGTACATTTCCCTTCCACCCATGCACATGCAGAATAATTCCCACATGTATTACATGGTGCTGACTTTGGACAATCTGCTTCAGAAAATTAATCACAATATCTTGCATAACTAGCTATCGGATTCACACTTATAGTTGCTATATTACATTATTTTTTTATCCCATCCCATTAACATATTGGAGAAACATTCTTTATACAATCTCCTTCTGATTACAATTATTAACAACTGCATTATGTCAAACTGTAAGATTAACTTATTGCTAAACCAACCAACAATTAAAGTAACAATATTTTTTTATACATTTAATGTATTAATTATAAATAATATCTATATATAAAATACTTAATTCCCTAATTTATAAATAATTTATCTCATGTTTATTAAATTTAATTAGTCTATACTAATAATTCAAATATAACACACCTAATTGTTTTAGTCAAAAAGACTTATCAACTTAATCTATCATAAATCAGAAATTTTAACTAAAACTTTAATAATTATTACAAGAAATTACTTTAATCATTTCCTAATTAAAAACATAACATTATTACTCATTTTTATCAATGACCCAAAAAATATCATTACTTAATATAAATTCAGAAAATTTCATAATTACTTTTCAAAATTTTGATTTTTCTCTCCAATATCTATAATGTCTTAAACAAAACATCAATTCAATCCTCATTAAAGTGTGTTAAACACCAGATAAATATTAAAAGTAAATTTGAAACTATTCCATATAAAATGAATTAACAAATTTAGAAATGTATCAAAAAAAGTGATCCAATAACAAATATCTTTCTCTGATAATAAATTTGAATCTAGAGGAACTTTCATCAATTATTAAGTAATTATCAAAATTACTTCATCTTTGATAAATTTTTATGATATGATTTCTCAACTGAATACTAATCTTATGTGAAATAGAAAAAACTCTAAAAAAAACAATAAAACCATTAATTAGAAAGATTTTATGCCTATAAGGTTAATTTTAATTCTAAATTAGAAATCCTTCAGATTAGATAAGAATTTAAAAAAAATTACTACAAAATTAGAAATATGCTTAATTATCAATAGAGGACGAATTAATTATAAGCACAGAAGCATATGTCGTTGTAAATATCCCAGAGCCACAAAAATAAAGCTTCTCTTGAAACAATATACTTCCTTAAGACTCATTATATTAGTTATTGTAATTTCTGTTTTTATTCTTCATATAAAAAAATGGAAAATTCGTAAAATATCTTTTTTTAGGATTAACAAGCTTTTATGTAAGTTTTTATTGTATAAGATGCCAAGAAAAAAATTAATTGAATAAAGATAAATTACAATGCGGAATTTTATAAGAATAAATAATTAAATAAAATCTAAAAAAAATAATTAAAAGAATTAAAATAATTTATTTTAAAAATTTAAATTGCAATTAATGATTTGTTGCAACTTTCATCACATCATCTAAGCAAAGCTAAAATAGTAATGATGATCACCATAAAATTATGAATTTTTAGTTTTGAATCAATAATTTATTTATTTTCTATAAAGTACAAACATTTAAAACATAAAAATTTGTAAAATAAAGAGAATAGAAGAAGAATTTGATTCTAAATGAATAAAAAATGAAAATAAAACTAGTTAGTTGTGATTAAAAATAGTTTGTTGAATTAGAAATGCTTTGCTTTAATTACTTAGAAAATTTTTATTTTTTTTTATATAAAAGTTCCCGTATGAAAAATTGATGTAATATTATTTGAAATTCATTTAATATACAAAATAGATTGCATATTATTAAGGAAAAGAATAAAATTATCAGTAGAAATATTTGAATATTATTCCAGAACAAATTATAATTAATTTAAATAATATGATACGATCGATTGCATGCCATCTTAGAAGAGCAACTCAACTAAATTAGGTCTAAAAATGTTTACCAAAATATTTCTTGTCTGAGAACGTCAAAGAAAAATAGCTAAGAGAAAATGACATGCTTTGGATTGCAGCTAATGCAGAGTAATTAAGAATTAAATATATATATAGTGATAAAAGATGCTCTATAGTAGAGATTCAAAAATTCATACAAGAAGAACCATTACTTGAATAATCTCCAATAAGATTAATGGACTTAGGAAATAATTATTTCAGACATATTAATCCTAGGAAAAAGAAGACAATGCTCTAACTATTAGATGCATATGTTGATAATTTGACTGAAGATGAAACAAATTTGTTCTAAGATGCCTTGTCCATTTATTTTGATAATACTTATCAAGGTAAGGACATGGAAGACTTGACATGTGAAGAAAAAGATTTACCAGAGCCATTATTTTGGCATATTTATAGCTTAATGATCTTTGATAGATTGAGCAGCCATTATGCTCGTTATGAATATCTCGATTAATTTAGAATTATCGAATATTTTAATCAACGAGATAAAGTATCAATATAAATAATAATAATTTTATAGTCAAAAATTAATAGAGTCAAATATGTGTTTACTTCTCATCCAACATAACCAAATTCATTAACTTAATTAATTGCTATAAGTAGAATGCTCCAAGGGATTGAATAAAATGATTACAAATATCTTAAATATGCTGCTAAGTTATTTATTTAATCAAATAAATAGCGTGTTTTTCATGTAAATTATTTTATTTACTAATTAAATAGAAAGTCTCATACATAGAGGAATCATTAATTTATCATTCTTAATATTTGCCAAATCTTATAAAAGCAGTAGCTTAGGCATATGAATTAGGTTTGTAGAATCCTGAAGATTATTTTGAAACACCAGGTACTTGGTTGACTTTTGATTTCGATAATCATCCAGGAATGGTAATAATCTAAAATTTATTTATTAGGAAATTGGTATTATGACTTATACACATGGATTGACTATTGACTTAACACTACAATAATACAAAGAGTATATTGCCGAAGCTTAATTAGAAGAAAATGAAGAATTTAAATAAATATTAGAATTATATTAATAAGCTTTAGATTATAGTAAAAATATAAGAGAATTAAGTGACAAATTTAGAGTTAAAAAAGAGATCTCACTTGAAGAATTTTATTAATAAATGCCTATTTTTAATATTAAAAAGATAGAGGATTAAATAACTCAAATTTTAGAATAAATTTTGGCAAAAAATGATGATTCAAAAGAATATTTTATAGCATTAAAATTGAAGAAGCTTTATTAAATATTTAGATTAACAGGAGTTTTAGGTTAAATTAGATTAGCTGGTGAAGATTTAACAGATGTATTATTTACTTATATTATTAATTTAAGATTAACAAAATAAAACCAATGATTAAAAATATATTCAAAGAAATCTCTCTATTAAATGCTAATGGATAAGCAGCAGATATGGTTATTATTGCTAACTTTTAAACATAGGCTTAATATGATTTAGTGAATGACTTAATTACTTTATATAAGGTTTAAAATGTAGAAATTGTACCTTTGTTAGAAACATTTTCTTCTACAAATAATACTGATTCTAAAATAACTATGATTGCAAGCAGTGACACTAGATAGAGAGATGGTTTAATATTGACAGAACTTAGAAATATGAGAGAATATAAAAGAAATCCTGAAAAATATATTTATATGGGATAAGGTATTACACCAGAAAGAGGAGGTGGACCTTATACATTGATACATACTAAATACTAAGCTTTAACTAGAGCATAAAGAAAACGACATATTAGAACAATCTAGGGGCATTATTTTACTTCAGAATTTGCTAGTGAAGATGTTGCTTTTACCTTTTTATTAAATGGTTTAGCTAATATCAATTATAGTGATGATTTTGAACCAAGTTATGAATATATGGATTTTTTATTTGAATTAGGTATATTATTTATTTAAGTAGATAATGTAATTGGAGTACCATAAAGAGCAATGTAAAAAACTAAAGAATATAATGATTTATATGTTAAAAATCAAGTAGTCAAAACTATGGTTGAATCTTTCAATTTTGGTGGAAGTAGAGAAATTGCTAGACCATTTGAAAGCCTAAAAAGTTAAAGAGCAATTGTTTAAGCATATTGTAATAGTGATAGATGTTCCTTTACTCATCCAGAATTAGCTTATTGGGATAGAGTACCTGAAGAATTGATCAATAAAATAGCCACTTATTATTATAATAATCATCCTCATATGAAATATATGCTTTATATGTATGCTTTAATGGCAAGAAGATGCGATTTAGATTTTGCTAAATAAGAAGTTGGCTTAGATTCTTCTAATCCTTACTTTTAAGCTATGCAAAAAGGAAGAGCAGCTTTAATCAAAATTTTAGATTAATTAGGTTTAGGTGATAATAGTACTCCCATGATTGCTATTTGGAAATAACATTTAGGTTGCTAATTATAGTCAATGAACATGGAAGTTAAGTAGAAATTTTCAACATTCAGAACTTTGAATGAATTACAATTATATTAAGCAAAGAAAATGGTTAAACATGGAATCTTAGAAACTGATATTGTTGCAAGTTAAAGAAAATTAAGAATTTTATAATCTACATTAGCAAACATGACATCATTCGCTGGTAAAGGTTGAATTTATCAATATTAAAATCAAGTTAAATAATAATCACATCATTATTTCTCCTTTTTTAAATAGTTACATTTTCTATTTAAAAATCAATATTCTTAGGTTTAAATTTCAAATTATTAAAATTTTATGGAAACTCTATTCTAGCTAATTTAATTGAACAACCTTTTCTTGTTCATCTCTAATTTTTATCATTATATTTTAATTCTAAGACTTAATTTCTATAAATAAACATATATTTGAATCAAATTAAATATCTAACATTTATCTATACTTAGAATTTCAGTTTCCTCTATCTTAACCAAGGAAATTTGAGGATCAAATAGATTATTCAGCCTAATTGAATAGATATTCACTAAAATTTAATGTTTAGTTAGAAATTTTTTGATAATATTAATTATTTTATCAAAGATTCAGAATTGAATTAATCTTACCCAAAGCACATTTAAAACTTTTATAAAATAAATCAAAAAATCCTCAATAATGCTCAATAAAACATTTCATTCAATTCAATAAGTGTACTGTTTTGTTGATTATTAGTATTTGTAAAAGTTTATGACATGTTTAAAATTGTCCTAATTCAGTCTATGTCTAGGCTATTTGATATCATCTTAACTAATAAGGAAAGGTTTCTCCTTATGATATAAAAAAAAAAAAAATACAAACTTATGCTTTATTTAATAAATCAAAAAATCAACTAATTATGTTCATAATGGTAACAAAAAATAAACAAAGAACATAATTTTTAAAATGAGATCAATTTATCAAATATTTTATTATTTGAAATCAATCCAGAAACCAATTAATTTAATAAATTAGTTAATCTAGTTTTATTTAAATAAGCGGCACTTCCTTTATTTCTTTAGTAATTAACAATATTAACTTAATTCAAGCTAAAGTATAAATAAGAGAAAAGCTCATTAGGTTTTATCAATTCTGACTCTTTACAAGGCCAAAACAGCAAATATTGAAAGTAGATAATCAATAATTGTCTAATAAAAATATTAAATCCAAATTCCTCTTATATTACAAGTTTTAGTGCAATTATCAAGTGGAGAGGATGCCAATTAATAAATTTTCATCAAGAATAATCTAAGCTAAAACTTCAATTTGAGCATCTTTGCTTACTATAACATAAGATTATATTAGAATAGTTCTCTTGCTGCAGAAAGACAAATAAAAAATTAATTCTGGATTCAATACTGCGATGTAAAATATATCAAGTTTCTATCAATAATAATCACTATTTTTTACATTTA